TCGTAAAATTCCCACAATTTAAGAAAAACGAGTTTTACATCACAGGCGAGAGTTATGCCGGCGTTTATATACCAATGTTAGCCACAAAAATATATTCACATAACTCTACCATCAATTTAAAAGGTAACAAAACAATGAATTGAATTACTTTATGCTTAAATTAATTTTAAATGTAATTTTGTTACAATATAAATAAATTTTTAAAACTATATAATAGGCGTAGCAATAGGGAACGGTCTATTGCTAAACTACCAGGGTCAGCCAGATTTAACGCAATCAAAGTATGACTATTTCTTAGCGCACGGATTGATAACAACGGATGCCTACGAGAAAAAGATTGAAAGTTGCTGTGAGTGTACGGCCGGTGCGGTTCAACATCAATGCGATTTCCTACGCCCGGCCAATAAAACGTAAATTAATCAAAATAATCACCATAAAAACTAGATAATTATGTAACATCTAAATAATTTAATACACATACACAGCAAATGCGAGTCAGTACAGGTGGACACCATGAAGATGAACAACCCGTTCAATATCTACGACGACTGTCCCATGGATAAGGACTCTCTGGACATGTTTGACACATACATTAGGCCTGAATTTTTACGCATTGGCATTAATTATAAGCTGAACACAAACAACGGGGTGAGCGCACCGGTGCCCGGATGTGTCACATACGGTACGGCTACGTATCTGAACACAGAGGCCGTGCGGACAGCCCTACACGTAAGGCCCGGCANATTGGCATTAATTATAAGCTGAACACAAACAACGGGGTGAGCGCACCGGTGCCCGGATGTGTCACATACGGTACGGCTACGTATCTGAACACAGAGGCCGTGCGGACAGCCCTACACGTAAGGCCCGGCAGTAAGAAGTGGTCGATGGGTGGCGGACCCTATGATTGGCAACACTTTAAGACACCACAAGTGGAAACCGTTAAACAACTAATAAATACATATAAAATACCAAAACTTATTGTATATAACGGAGACTTCGATACGGTTTGCAATTTTATTGGCGATCAGAGGTTTGTCTCGAGTCTAGGCTTTCAAGCGGTCGGTCATTACAGGTATGCCATAACATTAGTATTGCATTAACGCTTTGTTTTGTAAGAATTACTATAACTGTATGTATTGTATGTGTGGGACAGGGAGTGGACAGTCGACGGCACCAGTGATGGAGTGATCGGCGGTTTTATACAGAATTATGAAAAAGGTTTGAGTTTTGTTGTGGTCAGAGGGGCCGGACATATGGTGCCCAATAGTAAGCCCGATGCGGGACTGCAACTCCTTAAAGGATTACTTGGATTTGTAAAATTGTAATTAATTTATTTAAAAATGTTTTAATTGTGTAAATCTGTTAATTAAATATTACCATTAAGACAATTTATTACGAAATATAGTTATTATAAAATAAAAATTATAATAAATACCTAGTATTGCAAAATAAATAATCACCTTCATTATTATATTTCAATCACTCGTGAAATGTCCTAAAATACAAATAGACAAACTGTAACAAGAGTAATAAAAATTGTATTGTAAATGTGGACGATATGGTGATACTCCATCATATACTGTACTGATAATATTAATTGCATAAATATACATGTAAAGTTGTGTTATTATTAATAACTTATTAAATTAAAATTTATATTAAAAATTATCTAATTAATTTAAAAAACATGATATTAAATTATAAAAAATTTAAAATAGCGATAAATTATTTGAAATAATAAATTATTTTGAATAAAGTTACAACAATACAGTATAAAGTTTATCATTTTAATCGTTATCATCAACAAATCTTTTCAAAAAGTAAGTAAAAAATGAGAAAATTAGGACATCTGGTAAGGCTAACTAGATTATAAAACAACAATAATCATAATCAATATACTGTTTAGTGGCCGACACTGACGTCAAAAATGGTGGTCGCAAATATGTTATACCGCCGGTGCGAACAAACTTTGCGCACCACATGTGCCCACTGGTGTCGGATACCGGCAAAATGGCCCAGTACCAACAGTGGTGGTTCGAGTACTCGCTGCACCCGCGCCACCACTTTGACCGTCGCATCGGGTCCTCAATGATTGGCTGCGCCAGTCTTTTCTACCCGCACTGCAAGTCTGCCCAACGGTTTGAAAACGTGGTCAAATGGGTGGGCCATCTGTTCGTGTGGGACGACCACAACGACGCGGCTGTCGGCCAACTGTCACACCAGAGCTCACTCGCCGATCCCATCTTTGAGCAGTTGAGGCGAGCCGTGAATCGGTTGGAAGGGCTGTATATGAGGGGCGATTGCGGTCGCGAACCCATGACCGCGTGGCGACCCTATGTAATGGCCACGTATGCTGTGGTGGACGCTATACTGGCCGACTTGAATGCGGCGCAAAGGCGTCGGGTGATCGACGGCTGGCGCCGGTATATCGACGGACAACAGTTGGAGAATAAGATGATTGACCGACAAATGGGAAATACTGTTGAAGAGATACAAAAGGTTTGTTTCTGTCACATGTTTGTGCCAGGTTAGATGTTCACAGCATAGAGTTTTGGTCACATTTTGTGTAGCAATTATTATTATTTTAATGCAAATTTTAGTAAAAATACACCTGCTTTAAAATATAAACAAATGTGGGTAAGTGTTAGTTATGAGTCACAGTAAACTAATCCATATTGTTTTGAACCCAAACACAGATACGTATGACGAGTGGATCCGCCGAAACCATGTTCGCGATTATTGAGTACTCGGACGGAGTGTCGGTGACGGACACCGAGTGGGCGGACCCCCGAATGTCACGGCTCCGGGAGTTAAGCAATTTGAGTATACAATACGTGAATGACGTCTACTCTTTCGAAAAGGAATTGCACGAAAAGAACGGCCAAATTGAGCGCATGTTTGTTAATTTGGTCGCCCATTACGTGCTCCGGGAGGGGCTCACTGTTGGCCAGGCTATGGAAAAAACATTGCACGCGTGTCGGGAAGTGGAGACCGAGTTCGAGTCCCTCAGCCGACAGGTGCACGAGTCGGCCGATTTTAGCCCAGACGCCAAACACTATGTCCGCAGTCTGGCCGCTATGATCGGCGGTAATCATCACATGTCCGCTACAATCACTCGCTATAATAACATATACTGATCGTATTATCTGGATATTTATTATTGTAATATGATTGGTTGTCTTTGAATTTTATTTATTAATTATTTGTAAAGCCGTAAAATTTAAATTACTTTTTTACAATTTTTTATGTATTAGTATTTAAATTATCTAAATTAATATAAGTTAGTTTTATAAATAATTAATTGCAATTATGGAACGATGTAGTGATCGGCGGTTTTATACAGAATTATAAAAAGGGTCTGAGTTTTGTGTTGGTTAGAGGGGCCGGACATATGGTGCCCAATAGTAAACCCGATGCGAGATTGCAACTCTTTAAAGGATTACTTGGATTTGTAAAATTGTANTGCTTAACTCCCGGAGCCGTGACATTCGGGGGTCCGCCCACTCGGTGTCCGTCACCGACACTCCGTCCGAGTACTCAATAATCGCGAACATGGTTTCGGCGGATCCACTCGTCATACGTATCTGTGTTTGGGTTCAAAACAATATGGATTAGTTTACTGTGACTCATAACTAACACTTACCCACATTTGTTTATATTTTAAAGCAGGTGTATTTTTACTAAAATTTGCATTAAAATAATAATAATTGCTACACAAAATGTGACCAAAACTCTATGCTGTGAACATCTAACCTGGCACAAACATGTGACAGAAACAAACCTTTTGTATCTCTTCAACAGTATTTCCCATTTGTCGGTCAATCATCTTATTCTCCAACTGTTGTCCGTCGATATACCGGCGCCAGCCGTCGATCACCCGACGCCTTTGCGCCGCATTCAAGTCGGCCAGTATAGCGTCCACCACAGCATACGTGGCCATTACATAGGGTCGCCACGCGGTCATGGGTTCGCGACCGCAATCGCCCCTCATATACAGCCCTTCCAACCGATTCACGGCTCGCCTCAACTGCTCAAAGATGGGATCGGCGAGTGAGCTCTGGTGTGACAGTTGGCCGACAGCCGCGTCGTTGTGGTCGTCCCACACGAACAGATGGCCCACCCATTTGACCACGTTTTCAAACCGTTGGGCAGACTTGCAGTGCGGGTAGAAAAGACTGGCGCAGCCAATCATTGAGGACCCGATGCGACGGTCAAAGTGGTGGCGCGGGTGCAGCGAGTACTCGAACCACCACTGTTGGTACTGGGCCATTTTGCCGGTATCCGACACCAGTGGGCACATGTGGTGCGCAAAGTTTGTTCGCACCGGCGGTATAACATATTTGCGACCACCATTTTTGACGTCAGTGTCGGCCACTAAACAGTATATTGATTATGATTATTGTTGTTTTATAATCTAGTTAGCCTTACCAGATGTCCTAATTTTCTCATTTTTTACTTACTTTTTGAAAAGATTTGTTGATGATAACGATTAAAATGATAAACTTTATACTGTATTGTTGTAACTTTATTCAAAATAATTTATTATTTCAAATAATTTATCGCTATTTTAAATTTTTTATAATTTAATATCATGTTTTTTAAATTAATTAGATAATTTTTAATATAAATTTTAATTTAATAAGTTATTAATAATAACACAACTTTACATGTATATTTATGCAATTAATATTATCAGTACAGTATATGATGGAGTATCACCATATCGTCTTAAGCTCGCATCATATGCATTTACAATACAATTTTTATTACTCTTGTTACAGTTTGTCTATTTGTATTTTAGGACATTTCACGAGTGATTGAAATATAATAATGAAGGTGATTATTTATTTTGCAATACTAGGTATTTATTATA